AATATATACCAGACGACAAGCTGTCAAGGTAATATGAAATGTCATCTTGCACTAGTTATATGAAAAGCATGCATGAGTTTTCAATCCTGGAACCGTAAACATCTGGTATAACAGTGCTTCTTTAACATCAGATAGCTGTTTCTGAACCATATATACTTGAGAGATTTCCTATATAGTTCTAAAAGAGGGGTTGCAATATGCTCTAGTGTATTATTGAATACATTGTCGGAAGAATGCAGTACATTTTATTTTAGGCGCCATTAATTTCCTTGGTCAATAGAAACAGAGCTTGTCACTTCAGATAATTTTGACTGTATTATCTTCTTTTGCTGCTGAGAGCACTGGAGCTGTTTATTATATCTTTATCATTTCTCTGCATTATAGGTTGCTCTCTCTGTGTTGTGACTTAATTTTTAAAACTCTTTTAATCAACTCTTATTTAATACGTGACTGTCACAGCTGTTGGGAGACATTTTGTTAGATCGCTCAAATTCAGCTGTGATGACGCGATATGTAAGCTCAAGGGATAATTTAAGGATTCTGATGAATCTTCTAAGGGTATGACACTTTTCCAGATGCCTCTCTCATGTGGGATAAATAATTTTTGCCATTTCTCAGTTGTCTTAAAACTGTAAAAATTCATTCCTTTGCAGGAAACAAGCAAGAGCATCCAGATAGAAGCATTTCACGTTTTCAAGGTACCACAGACCGGACTATAAATTATATGAACCCTTTGACATGTGCAATCCTTTGTTTCCCCCCTTCAAACTAATGTTATATATATGTTTGACAGCTTTTTGCGGCTAATCAAAACAAGCCTTCCGACATTGTTAGCATACTCATAGCAAACAAAAGCAAGCTCCTGCGCTTGTTTGCTGATTTTAAAACTGATAAAGGTAGAGAATTATATTTACAGCAGTCGCGGGCTTTTTCGGCTTTTTGCTCTCTCTTTACCGTGTTCGGTTTGTTTTGGTTTCAGAGGATGAACAGTTCGAGGCAGACAAAGCTCAGGTTGTGAAGGAAATTGCTGCCCTCTGAGGTGTGTTGTATGTGTTGTATGTGTAAAATCTCATTTGCCTTTTTTGATTAAATTGTGAATTCATAGTTAATATATTATGGCACCAAGAATTTGTGATTCACTTTTCTTGCTCTCTTTGCCTGCCTGTCAAGAGGGAGGGATTGCTTGCTCGACTTGTATTCAATTAAATACTTTTTTTGTGTAGGAAATATTAAGTGGTTAAAAATAAATAAATAAATAAATAAATAAATTTTATTTACTATTTATTATTTACTATTTACTATTTACTATTTACTATTTACTATTTACTACTGGCATTCGCATTTTTAACAAAAAAAAATTCAAATGAACTAATTAAATTTAAGAAACTTCATAACCCAAATAATTTTTAGATGTTCTAAGAGTGTAAATAAGTTATTAATTTATATTATATTTTCACTAAAAATCGTAAAAAGTAAAAATTCAAAAATACATCAATAATATTTATAAATATATGTATTTCTGAAATATTTAATAACTTTTTGTTATTCATTTATATTTTCAGAATATGTGATAATTTTTCTTGAAGTATTTTTATTTAAATATATATAATAAATTTATTGAAACTTAAATTTAATCGGATCATTACGGTCTTACAGTCGTATTATTGAATTAAATTATTGATTTTACTGAATCGATCGTTATGAATTGACAATTACCGATTTATATTGCACTCGCAAAATAAAATAAAATGAAATAAAATGGATGGCAGGAATTGAAAGTAAGAAAGCACACATGAAGATGATAGAAAAGATTTATGGTGCAGTTGCGAGCATATTCTTCCTTAGTGGGCTGGCTGGCTCATGCTTTGCATTTTGCATAGAAATAGAATAAATCCAAAAGAATATTCCAAGAATCTCCCTTTTCGTTATCACAATTTTGTTATGTAGGATGAATACATACTCAAACTACTATCATATTTTTATTAATTAATATAATTTAATTTAATTATTATTATTATTATTATTATGTTATTCATAAAAATATAATACCATGTAAATATATTCCATTGTACAAAATCATTTCTCCTCTCCTAGAACATCAAAATTAGTAAATTATGTAAATATATATATATATATATATTTTTTTTATTTCTATAGTAAATTAGTAAATTAATTTTTAAATTTTAATACTCGTTACAATTAGGTTTTTGATATTTTTTTTATTATAGTTTAATTTTTAATATATTTTGTTTATTTTAAATATTTAATTTTATTTTAATTTATAATAAAAGAAGTAAACAGTCGAATTATATTTGAATTAAATAGTAATAAATGTTAAAATTTTTAGAAAATAATTTAATAATTTGTCTTTTCTCTTTAATTGGTATTATTTTAATTTATCAAAAAAAAATTCGAGGTTAAATAACAAATTTTTCTTTATGTATTATGTAAAAATTAATTATAATTTTAAAGATTTTAGTGTAGAGTTTGGTACTTCCGGAGATTCCTGGCAAATCTTGGGTCTTTTCTCCGTTCAAAACCTGTGTGTGCATATATATATATATATATTTATGTATCCACCCACGCAGACACATACATATAAACAAACACATCTCTACTCACCTCTTAATGTGATTACGTGAAAAAGCTCCACAAGACAAAAGCACAACCCACCATCAAATCATCTTCTTCCTCATCTTTCTGTTTCTTTCATCACTCATTGTCAACAGTCGAGAAAATTATAAATGGCAGAAAACGGTAGGTTCCCCACTTCTCTAATCTCTTTGATTGTTCATTGTCTATGTGGGTTTTTTTTTTTTTAGAATTCATGAATTTGATTTGGTTCTGACATTTTCTTATGTGGGTTTTAAGATTCACTGGCAGAGTTCTTGGTCTCCGCAGTCGATGCAGCTAAGAAAGCTGGCGAGGTGACTTTCTCTCTTAATTTTCTGTTTTGGTCGATTTTATTTTGTTTTACAAATTCTTGCGTGAAAATGCTTGTTCTTTGACCAACTCTTTGCTTTGTTTGGGTGATTTCTAGGTAATACGTAATGGGTTTTATCAGACCAAGCATGTGGAGCATAAAGGCCAGGTCTTTCTCTTTCTATCCTTTTATTTCATATATCCCGTTTTTGATCATCAATTTCAATATTTATATGCTCTTTCACTTAATTTGTGGTTAGAAAATTGAAATTCTTATGTAGCTATTTGGGTATACAATGTTTACTTCTTGCTGTATAGGCAGCTTAAAAGTTTTGATTTTGATCATATGGTGAAATTTAGGAAGAGATAATTGTTCCAAGCTTTACCTGATTGAGACTTCATCATTTATGGTTCAATGGAATGCTAATACCCGAGGTCAATTAGAATTTGAAATCGTAAAATGCTGATAAGAATATTGAGGTTAGGTATCTGAGAATTGGAGTATAGGGTTGAATTCCATCCAGTTACTCTGTGAATAGATGTTAATGCACTCTTTTCAGGTGCTAGATGCTATGATTTCAGATTTTCTGCACTGTCAAAAGATTTTATTAGGACGCCTTCTCTAATGGTAGAAATTTTTTGGGAATCTAACAGTGATGAGATTCAGAAAGTTCGGGCTGTAAAATAACAAGAACAAGGATCTCTCTATGGAATGTATTAGCCGCAGACCAATTTCATGTTTCATTCCTGACCAGAAGTCTATATTGAATCCAGAAAATGCAAGTCTGAAAGGCTTTATCTGAAGTGAATTCCAAAATTTTGTAGATAGAAGAACTAGTTTGCGTATTAAATGGTTCAAGTTGAGATTTTTATGCACTGATTTTAATCTTTGGATTTCCTGTTCATTCTTTTCCTTAAAATTTTGTTTTGGTTAAGAAATGGCAATTAGGAGAACATATATAGATGAAGTATCTTATCCAGAAAAAGAAAATGTAAAATTCCAAGAACAGATGAACTGAAAAATTACTACTTTGTGTCTATGTTTACTCTAAATTGCAGGTGGATTTAGTTACGGAAACTGATAAAGCATGTGAAGATCTCATATTTAACCATCTCAAGCAGCTATACCCCACTCATAAGGTGAACTTGTATTCTTTATTTTATTCTACGTGTATCTAACAACATTTAACCGATGATGAATGGTGTTACATGATCTTTTGCTACTTTTTTTTTTTTTTGCCTTAGTTTATTGGAGAAGAAACTACTGCTGCTTATGGTGTTTCAGAGCTGACCGATGAGCCCACATGGATAGTTGATCCCCTTGATGGAACAACTAATTTTGTGCATGGGTAGTGTCTTTATCATACTCTTTATTTTCTCGATTTCCTGTCAGTTGGTTTATGTTGTTGTTGACCTAACATAATTACTTCCAGGTTCCCGTTTGTTTGTGTCTCAATTGGTCTCACAATCAGGAAGGTCCCTACGGTTGGTGTTGTTTACAATCCAATAATGGCTGAGGTGAGAACCTCGGTCTTTGTTACCAAGAAATTAACCTGTAAAAAATCAGTGGAATTGTGACTTCATGTTGATTAATGTAGAGAAGTCAGTAGATCTAAATCTGTAACTAAATGACTACTACCTGGTTCTATGATATGCAGCTTTTTACAGCCATCCCAGGAAAAGGTGCCTTTTTGAACGGAAACCCAATAAAAGTGGGTGCTACTCTTTATGTCTTAGTTTTTTGTTTTTTGTTTTTTGATTTTTCTGGTTACTCATGAGCTGCAATTTTATTTCTGAAATTTGGCAGTATCATCTCAAACTGAACTCGTGAAGTCTCTCCTTGCAACGGAGGTAAGCTAATGTTTATTAGAGACCTTTTGTGATTATGCCTCTTATTCTGCTATTATCATTTTTTTATAAGCTCAGTATTATGAAAATAACAAGATAAACTAGATATATTCAATCAGGAACCATAAAAGGATGGAGGGGGGACCAATTGAAAGGTCAAAACCCGAATCAGTTACCTTTGTCTCTGAGGTTTGCAGAGATTTAGCTGTAGACTCATTGGTTTTGGAATATATCAGAAACCCAAGTCAATGGACAGAGATTGAATTACTGGGTCACTTCACAGCTCCATGTTCTATAGTTTCTGTTGAATTCTGTTAGTCAATCCAATGATAAGGAAGTCCATGACTGATATATAATTCCTCGTCATGCTTGCACAAACGGGAAAAGGAAATGGGAAAATGCATATAAGGTGGACTTTGGTTTCACTGCAAGGAAGCAGTGGTTCTGCTTACTTTCTTTGGTGAGCAGGGATGTTACGCGGATATTACTAGGGATTTTTGGTAAAATTTAGCAACTTTTAGAAGGGATGTGGTTGGTTTCTGCATGTGCAATGGAGATAGGACTACTTTATTGTCTTTGGTGCTTCTCTCTTTCAGTTTTTGAAGCTCGGTTAGTAGTCTTTTGTTATTTAATGATTATCTTTTATCCTGCTGAGCAGGCCGGAACCACACGTGATCAGGGAACTTTAGATGCTACTACAAATAGAATCAATTATTTGCTCTCCAAGGTATCAATAAGACTTTGTCAATGATTCTCTGGAGCCGGTCTATTATGTGCTAGCTGCAATAAGATTTCTATTACTTTCTCCTTGTATCAGGTGAGATCCATTCGGATGAGTGGCTCTTGTGCATTAAACCTATGCGGAATCGCGTGTGGAAGGCTCGATCTCTTTTATGAACTTGGATTTGGTGGTCCATGGTATGAATAATTCTCTGTTATGTTTCTTCAGTCATGCTTAGGTGGGAGCAATTTTGACTCAGTCCATTTCTTTTCTCAGGGATATTGCTGGGGGAGTTGTGATTGTCAGAGAAGCTGGAGGGATTGTGTATGATCCGTAAGTCACAGACCTAGTTGAATATTATAACTTCTCTGTTTTATTTTGCAAATTTGGCAAGCTTAAATACTACCTATTATGCTCGAATATTACGATTATTATGGAAACTTAAAACAGTCTGTTTTTGCACCAGATCCGGAAAAGATCTCGATATCACATTACAGAGGATTGCTGCTTCGAACCCTTCGCTCAAGGATGCATTTGTTGAGGCTTTGATGCTGTCAAAATTGTAAGGCAACTGTAGCCCATGAAAGACAAGGGAGAGTATGATTTATACCAAGTTTAATTTTCCCTTCAGGAGGGATTAACAATGTAGCATTTTCTGAGAAAGTTGATGAAATTGTCAAATTTTTTTCAATTGACATGTCCTTGTTATAGTGCCAGATCGATTATCGTGCTGAGAAAACGTTCTTATGGTTGTTCATTTTTGCGTTTTTAGTAACTGGTCTATAACTAATGATTACCTGCTGTGAACACTAATCATATGCTCGCTAGGTATTAGTCGATATTACAATTACAGCTGCAGTGCTGACTGATAATGAACAATGTTACAGAAGTCTCAAGCAGTATGACCTAACAGTTACCATTAGATCTGTAGTTCTGCATACCCAGTGGTTAGCAGCTTGTGTTGCTTTCCGAGATTTAATATCATTAGTTGTGTTTCTGTTCTATTTAGTTATTGAAATGTATAAATTTTTATTAAAAAATAATTTATGAAATAGAAAAAATTATCAGAACCAAGAAACTAAATAATTATATAAGAACCAAGAAAATTTCTGCAGCATCTGCAGAACAAATCAAAGCACTTCCCCGTACCTAATTGGAGACAAAAATATAACCCTAACCCTAAATTTCCCCAGTGCAGAAGGCATCTCCAAAATACCTCGTACATAAAACATGTACATACAAACCAAGAAGTAAAACAAAACCCAGAAAACAAACATGGCATATATCTAAACCCTATTTACACATGCTGTTGTTGACCATACCCATTTGCTTCATTCCTGGCATGAGGCATCTTTGCAGCTTCATTTTCTGATTTTCTTCTTTTCATCACAACAAACCATGTGTAAGCTTCCAATGAAACAGCTTTGATGGCCAAAACCACGATAACCGCAATGTAAGCTGTCTTCCACTTCTTCTCCGGTTTCAAGATGTCAAATCCCTTGAAAATATTCACGATGCTGAGGATGATAACGAGGTATCCAACTGAGTGGTGGTAGATGTTCCAGTAGAATCTGTACTTGTGATCTGGTTTTGGCCTTAGAAGTAATGCAAAGACCTGAAGAGTGCCAAGGCAGAAGAGGATGATCCCAATTGCTCGGTGGGGATTATACTGAATGCCGGAGGATTCACTTCCGAGTTTGAGACCGGTTGCCCACCCGGATACGCCGATAACATAGGCTGAGGATTGGCAGAAGACATGAAGGTAAAACCAAGCAGGGTCTGCGGATTTGAAAACCTTCAAGTATCTTGCTATGATGGCACCAATTGGCATCATGATGCCCCAACTAACAACATTTAGAACTCCGTGAATCTGAAATTTCACATAGTAATCTCAACTGTCTGAGTAATTATGAACTAATCATCAAAAAAAAACTTTATTGACTGGCTTAAAATCTTATCATCAGCCATAGTTTGACCCAGAAACAGAGTAAATTCAAACAGATTACTTCATGAATAAAATGATCCAGGAGGAATAAAATGACCCAGAAACAAAGTAATCCAACAAGATTATTTCATGAACAAGATGATCCAGAAACACAGAGTAAATTCAAACAGATCATTCCATAAATGAAAGACCCAGAAACAGAGTAAATTCAAGCAGATGATTTCATGAACAAAATGACCCAGAAACACAGTGAATTCAAACAGATAGCTTCATGAATTATCAGCTCGCGCCAAACTTCACATCGATTCAAAACAATCGAACATAAAACTAAAAAAACCAGAAAAAAAAAATTAAACCAAACAAGCTCAAAAAACCACTTACATTACGCTTTTTGATCTTTGAATTCCCTCCAACTGTACCAGATTCTCCAGATACAAGATTTAGAGTACTCATGGACTTAACATTATCCCCATTAGTGTCATGCATTTGAGGAGCATCCCCTTGAAGAAGACCATCCTGCCAAACCTGGTTCAACGTTTCAGTCTTGCCATCAAGACTCAGAGTAGCAAATATGGTGATCTCATTATTCTCAAACGTAGCTGACAAATCAGAAACCCCAAAGCTAAGACTACCATTCTTCAAAGTCGTCTGGTAACTATCAATAGGTGATCCATAAGCCGTCATGGACCCATCAGTTTTCTGGAAAGCAACCAGAGCCTGCGACCCCAACATGCCTCCTGATTTAGGGTTTATAGCCCAAGCGACCCATCTCCTGGACGTGATCCCAGTGTGCCTGTAAGCAATCTGTAGCTTCCCAGATGAAGAATCGTAGTTGTAATGAAGGAAAGAGTTGAGGACAGGAAGATCGTTGCAGGATTTGAAGACTTGGTTGTTTGAGAAGACACGGCTGCTGCAGGTTTGAGCAGAGGATGAGAAGATCATGCAGAGAAGAAATGAGAAACAGAGCAGAAGCTGGTAGAGCAATTTAGCCATGGTGAGAATGGTAGTTGAGGATTCTTGAGCTCAGAAAGATGGAGAGATGATAAAACCCAAACAAGAAATCAAGAAAGATGAGGCTTTGT